AAGACGGTTGGTATTGCAGATGGGCGTAATCGAACCTCTGTCCCGCCATTATTAAAAAACAAATAAATTGTCATACAAAGCTGGTATTTGATACACAGGATCGCATTAGGGAGGGGCATCTGTGGTTAAATTTTTTTTTAAGTGGGCGTGGTTTCGCCCCTAATAGGTTTAATGTGCATATCTCCTAAACTATAATAACAAAATTCACTGAGAACAAATGTTTTTAGCACCCCTATCTACGGTGTGAAAATGACTGATCGGGTGACAACCCCGCCCACTCCCCATGTAACGGTACTGTTAAAAACTACTAAAAGCGCGATAAATCAAGCACTAAACACGCCAGAGACATTAAATTTTATCTCTGGGATGGTATGAGATGACTATATAGGAACCGCGTTCAAAATTAGACAGTGGGCTTGGCACAGCCCACTTTTAGGTGAAAACACATATCTTGAGATCTGCTTAACCAATTTCAACAAAATTCGTTACATAACGTTGTTTTTATATTTCTATGTTATCGTGCGAAAATGGGCCAAATCGGACTACAACCATGCCTATTTCCCATATAACGCCATTTTCAATTCCATCTGATTCTTTCACTTTCCACTATGCAAATCAAGCAACAATGATTATATCGGGGTAAAACTTTGCGTGAATAATACGTTTAAAGTATGCCACCTTGTAAAAATTGTCTAAATTGAACCAAAACTGTTCAAGCCCCTAGGTACTGAATATGTGGACCCCAGTGCCTATAGTTGACCTTCTACCGAAAATATCAGCCAATCCACAAAGAAATCTCAAACGAGTATACTATTTGACTTTGCGAGAGTATAAAATGTTCGGTTACATCCGAACTTAGCCCTTCTTTACATGTTTATTTTTAATTTTTATTGCGAGGCCCGACTTGAATTTCGGTGCTGAAATATATATGAAATTGAAAAAGTATACTTGTATAATTGCGATTGACTTATATGTATGTATGTATGTATATTTATAATTCAATATTGATCGAGGTCTCCGAAGTTGTTATCTCTATTGAAAATCCCGTTATTCCCTTATTATAGCCACTCTCATATTAGTCTAGACTCCCAGATTGCATGTTTTGTATTTTCTTTATTTTCTGCATAATACAAGCTTCAATTTCTTATAAATGTAGATCGTTCGGATATCGTCCTTTATTCAGAAGATATTCTAGAGGTAACCCTTCGCTGGGCAGCTGATATATAATATAAGGTGGTTTCTTCTATGCCAATATATTATATATATAATTTGATAGCAAATAGATTTGGCGGTATTAATAACCTATATATTAAATCCTAACTAAAGAATAAGAAACAACTTATTATGCGACTAAGACAATTCTCTAATCAGTAGTACAAATATTTTCGTTTGTCGTGAAATTGAAAAAATCTCAGCTAACTTGGGTGAATATGTTGGTTTCATAATAATGTTCTTCACTACGTGATAGGTTACCATGAAGCAAAAAACACAAGTTTTTCCCCGAAATTCTGACTTTTCAGTGTCTGGTGTGTAAACATGAAATTTCGTACAAATTTTGTGAAATGTTTTTCAATTGAAATACCTGAACATTTTGATAGAAGATAATGTTGTCCTAAAATAATTAATTTCAAATATAATACTATTACAGGCTGTGTCTTCAAAACGCTCCAATTATTCGAATCGTAGACAGGCTGAGCAGAGACAAGATAATTAATATTGATTTAGGAACGATAGAAAAGTGTATAAGTTAACCAAGCTGTCTGTTCAAGCTTCTCGAGGTAGTTTGGACATTTTGCCAACGAATCTCTTTTTTTTAGAGTAAATCGGAGAGTCAATGTGATCGAGTCAGTTGTGAATCACCCTCAATATACTCGTAATAATTTGGTATAAATTGGTTAAATGATAGCTATTATTTGGCAATTAAAGTTAACTGCAGAATGTCTTTAACCTCTGCATCTGATGGTACGAGCCCCCCAAAGCAAACAAGCTTATGAAGCGTCTGCGAACCAATCCTGTTCAAAGAATACTTGTAAAAGAAGTTCCCAGAGATTGTAGTCCAACTAAAAGGATTGAAAGTAATATAATCCAAAACTCGCTAGACCTAAAAGAAAGTATGACCTGTTACTTAACTACTTAGCAAGTAAAATACTTTCGGGGCAGAGTAATAGTAAAGTGAGAATTTTAAATTTAAAGAGAGCATTCATTGGAATCGAAATGACGCTGAAAAGCGAATATAATTGGGTCTTGTAGCAACTATGCAGAGAGGAACTTTGACCCATGAATTCGTGTGTTGATTACAATGACATTCGATTTTTTACTTCTTATTAACTTATACTATAGATCATAGTCCCATTTAGTATCATTACTACCTATACATTTTGCTTAATGTACGACAATGCCTCTCGGGCCCTGAGTTCTCAGATGGGCTCGGTGCTCTGCAAAAATGTTCTGCAGATTATTTTTTACTACATTTTTTCCTACTTTGCTAAGAGCGAGTTATATAATTCTTTCAAAAAGTTTTCAAAGAAAAACTTATACACTCACCACCTTTCGCTTTTAATACAATTGTAATTTTATTTGGTAATTGAAAGTACGGGTTTTATACACTCCCTTAATACCACAAACACTTGCGACGCAGCGCAGAGAAGAGAAAAAAAATGTATATAAATGCCTTTGATAGCAATTTAACTGGTTCGGATCAGATCCGCTGATGTGATGAATCCACGGATGACGGTGCTTTCGCTGCGAGTTCAAAACGAAGAAGAGACCAGCCGATTCTAGTGTACGTGGTTTTGTTGATGGTTGGTGGGGTGATCGCCCGGTGTGTTGTGTATCCTGGGTGGTAGGGTCGTTGTGTGAGGTGTATGTTGCGTGAGGTGAGGTGGTGAATGTTGCGAGAGGTGATGTGGTGAATGTTGCGTGTCAGTGATGTGTGAGGTGTGTTGGTGTAAGTTTTCGGGACGACGTAGGCTCATTTAGCCAGAGTAATTCAGAGGGCCTGCACAAGTTCTCTGTATATTGGAGCTGGAGCAATATCTGGACTTTTTGCGTTAAACTAAAGTTTCGACACCACAATAGTTTGCATTTAAAATCATATGTTTTCTTAGTTTTGCTAAGATATATTACAAATTGATCGATATTTACAGCATAAACCCTTCCAGAACTTTGAATAGCCTTATGTTTAAGTAAAAAGTCAACCATAGAGACCGAGGTTCTTATATTCTATATATGGGGAACTGAAAAGTTGTGGTCGGATTTTGGCCGTTATTAATAGAAAGTTACTACACCTTAGTACAGCTTATTCTAGGTAGTTTTATCCGTTATCTTCATCGATTTATGTATTATAGAGTGAAAGATTCAGATGGATTTGTGTTATATAAAATCCACGCCTTATAGTCCAATTACAAAAACCAAAAACAAGTACCATGTTTCCCGAACTTAACCCAAGATATAAACTAAAAACTACAAGAAAAAAATTAAAGCAGAAGAAAAGTAAAAACCAAGACAGCAAAACCTGTGCTGCGGAATCTATTTTTGATAGATTATCTTGCTTGCTCATAATATTATTTCCAGCGACTACTTCATCGCTTTTGAAAATTATCTTTGCCTTTTACTTTTTCTCGTATTAATTTATCTACTTTTACTACTGTCAAATATCGCCTCATCTAATGAGCAGTCGCTCATATTTTTCCGTTTTCTTTATAATGCATAATTTTTGTTTCGAAAAAAATCTCGAAAAAGAAAAGATTATGCCTTGCTCTAATTTTGAAGCGTCTTTGCCGAAACATCAAAGCAAGCTGTCATTTGATCGGCTACGAAATAGGCACCAGTCATGAAAGACGACGCATTAGAGATTTTTCTTTGCTTACGTATGAAAAGATCGTCTTAAAGATGGCATTGTAAATACTGTAAATTGTTGATGTTGCATAAAAACTACTATATACATACAAGTACTTGTATATGCATGCAAATATCAAAAGCAAGAGTAAAGAAAACAAAAAGGTACGCCAAAAGATTAGCGAGCGAAAGGGTAACCATCAACCTAAAGGCAGAGAAAAAATAACAATAATAATAATAAAGCGACAAAAAAGCGGGTTAAGTTTTTGTTGTTGTTTATTTTTTAAGTAACATAAAGAAACGTGTATCACGTAGTTGCTCCGATCGCTCTGTCAATGAATGAAATGCGTCAAAAGTTGGAAATTTGTGTTGATGTTAATCCATTATATTTTTTACTTAATTCTTTATTGTTGTTGGGGTAGCGGGTAGCGGTGTTAACATCGCGCTTTTTTCACACTTCAAGCTGGTTTATTGATTAATCATTAACTAGCATTTCGATTGGCGTTTCGGATTTTTATACCCTGAACAGGGTATATTAATTTTGCCACGAAGTTTGTAACACCCAGAAGGAAACGTCGGAGACCATATAAAGTATAAGTATATATAAATGATCACCGTGACGAGCTGAGTTGATTTAGCCATGTCCGTCTGTCCGTCTGTATATACGCGAGCTAGTCCCTCAGTTTTTGAGATATCGATCTGAAATTTTAAACACTTCTTTTTCTCCCCAAGAAGCTGCTCATTTGTCGGAACGGCCGATATCGGATCACTATAGCATATAGCTGCCATACAAACTGAACAATCGCAATGAAGTGCTTGTATGGAAAACTCTTTTATTTGACGAGGTATCTTCACGAAATTTGGCATGTATTATTATTTAAAGCATTAATCTAATCTCCGAAGAAATTGTATGGATCGGATGACTATAGCATATAGCTGCCATATTAACTAAACGATCGAAGTAAAGTGCTTGCATGGAACATTTTTTTATTTGACGAGGTATCTTCACGAAATTAGGCACGAGTTATTGCTTAAGGCAACAAATTATTCTCCACGGAAATTGGTCAGATCAGATCAGAACGTTCGGAATCAAGTTCTTGTAAGGGGCCTTTGTTTTTGTGAAGGGTATTATAGCTTCGGCGCAACCGAAGTTAACGTTTTTTCTTGTTTCTTAATATATTGTATGATTTTCTTTTTGTATACTTCTTTTTGTGTATATTGTTGCTTTAGTTTTGGTTGGGCCCACCTTTTGAAATATCGCTTTGCACAGCGCATTAACCTCAAGCGAACAGAAGAAGGCAGGAACGCTAGATGGCATATACATTAGCTATACAATCAAAAAAGAAAAAGAGTGAGAGAGTACACAACCAGCTAAATTTAAGCTTAGAAATACATACGTACATATGTGCATATCTCGGAACGAAAGAACTTGTGTAGATAAAACTCAATAATTATTAATTTCACAAATGGCAAACTCAACTCTCATCTATGGAAGTGTGATGACACAAGCAATTCCTCGAAATTCGATGAATCAGTGAGTAATCTTAAAATTATTAGAAATTGACAATTGTTGACAATTTTTAAAAGTAATACATATACCGATAAAACCCTTAATTTTTTATATTTTATTCTGTATTTCTATTAAACATTTCGTCTTATATAGTTGGTTCAAAATATTCCCTAAAATGAGTGTGTTTTTTTAGACTTGTAGTTTTCCATGACGCAAAACTTTTTTCGAAGTTGATCTGTTTGGTTTGTCATTTCATAATGAAAATTTATTACCAAAGAAATTCCCGATTTTCACAAGAAAATTTTGTTCAGTGATGAAGCTCAATTTTGATTTAATGGGTACGTTAATAAGCAAAACTGTTGAATTTGGTGTGATAATAATCCACAAGCCATTGTTGAGACACCGTTGCATCCTCAAAAAGTCACTGTTTGGTATGCTCTTTGTATGTGCAGAGGGAATCATTAGTATCCATCTTTCTTCAAAAATTAAGCTGGGCATAATGTAACAATCCATGGGAAACGCTATAGAGCCATGATTCATGACCTTTACGTGCCTGAATGGAGGATGTTGATGGACGTTTGGTTCCAATAATACGGCGCTATATTCCATACAGCCAACGGAACAATCAATTTATTGAAGGAAACTTTTGGTGAGCGCATTATTTCTCGCCGGGAGCCTGTGGCGTGGCTTCCAACATCGTGTGATTCAACACCGCTGGACTATTTTTGTGGCGTTATGTGAAGTCGCTTGTCTATGCAGGTAAGCCCAAAACGATTGATGCTTTGAAATAGAGTCTTCGTATTGAATTTGAAAAATATATACAAAGAAAAATGCGTTTAAAGATAAACTAAGGGAACTGAGCGGCTAAACTTTGGAAGGCTGTAGCCCAAAAACTTTTTGAGATATCCATTTCAAAATTTATCATGATGGTATTATTTCCTATCGAAATATGGAAAAGTTTACTTTTTTTTCTAATTTTACACTGTGTGCCCCTGAATTTTGTTTGATCGAGTTAAGTGATATTCTAACTAAGTTTAAACCGTTCAATTCAAATAAAAATAATATTTTCAAAGTTTTTGAGTCAATACAGTCTAAAAATTAGTCAGATGGTCCTCAGCAAGAATGATCTTTTGTTCTTATGCAAATTTGTGGCTCCTTTATGGGAGAGAATGTTTCAATTCTGGTACCAAAAAGTACTCCAGTTAGACAAATGTGGTACTGAACACTTTCCTGGTAGGAAAATCAGATGTTCCGAAATCAGTTTGATCATTTTCGACATGCTACATTTTTAAGAGTGTGTTTGGCGTGTATTCATGACGCCATAAACGAATGGATCGGAAGTCTATGTTCATAATTACGATAAAAGTTTAGCCTATACATAGGTCTATACTAAGATTTTCGAACAAATATTTTTCAAAAAATTTACATGTGAAAGCAACAACAAAGTTATCGAATTAAATTGAAGCAAGAGAGTATGCTTATACCTAATTAAAGTGGTATAACTTATATATTCTATGCTACCAAGTTTTTTTTAATAACCCAACGATTACGCTCCCTTTTGTTTTGCATATTTTAGGCCAGTTTTACCATTGTGGATGGCTCAAATGACAGATTTCTTTTTTTTCTTGTATTTTTGAAACATAAGACTTAAAATCAATTATAATAATTTATGTAAAACCTAAATAAATGGTTACAGCAACGGTTTTTAATGCGAAAAATTAATTTCTCTACTAAGAAGCAATCATAACACTATTGCGCATGCGTTCGAAGACATGTTAGCGCAGGGTCGCACCACAAGTGCTGCCCGTTTGTTTGGTATAGTTTTTTCAATTCGCTGGAGAGTAACACTTGGCGAATCGAAGACAGTTATTATGAATATGTTCTATGAAACTCTCTTGTTATACCTTATTATATTCTCAACAGGAAACGTCGGAAACCCTATGAAGTGCAGGAGTATAGTACAAATAAACTTGGCGAACTGAGTCGATTTAGCCGACTAGCGAACTAGTCCCTCAGTTTGTGAGATATTGATCTAAAATTTTGCACCCATATTTTTCTTCTTAAGAAGCTGCACATTTGTTGAAATCGTCGTTATCGAAACATTATAAGTTATACCTGCCATGCAAACTGATCGATCAAAACCAAGGTTAAGATCTTCATACAAATTGTTTTCCTTAATTTTTCCTAATTTGACTTGAAGGTGGTTTTTATCAAATCACGTGGCTAGAAAGAACTAACAAACGCTTTGCGATGGATGGAAACCGTTATGGTTAAATTTTCAGTATTAGTTATACACATACCATAGTTGCTATTAGAAATCTTGTGATGGGTATTATAGTTTCGCTATAGCCGAAGTTGTTCCTTACTTTTAAGATTTTTTAGGCGAAAAAAATTGATTTTTGAAAATTCTTGAATGAGCTCATTTTTATACTCTCGCAACATGTTGCTACAAAGTATAATAGTTTTGTTCACCTAACGGTTGTTTGGATCACCTAAAACTAATCGAGACGAGTTGATATCCGGGTAACTGTCTGTCCGTCCATCTGTCCGTACGTCCGTGCAAGCTGTAACTTGAGTAAAAATTTAGATATCTTTATGAAACTTGTTACACATGTATTCTTGGGCAGTTGGCGTAATCGGACCACTGCCACGCCCACAAAACGCCGTTACGAAAAAACAATAAGGTACAAAACTGTTATTTGCTACACAAGATCACATTAGGGCGGGGCATCTGCAGGTTACATTTTTTTTAAAAAGTGGTCTCGCCCCTAATAAGTTTAATGTGCATATCTCCTTAACCGCTAAAGCTATAATAATAAATTCACGGAAAACAAATGTTTTTAGCACCTCTATCGACAGTGTGAAAATGGGTGACAACCCCGCCCACTCTCCATATAACGGCACTGTTAAAAACTACTAAAAGCGCGATAAATCAAGGACTAAACACGCCAGAGACATTAAATTTTATTTCTGCGATGGTATGGGATTATTTTATGAGAACCATGTTCAAAATTAGTCAGTGGGCGTGGCACCGCCCACTTTCAGGTGAAAACCCATATCTTGGCATCCGCTTAACCGATTTAAACCAAATTCGGTATATAGTATGAAAATGGATTACAACCACGCCTATTTCCCATATAACATCATTTTAAATTCCATCTGATTTTTTCACTTTTCAGTCTGCAAATCAAGCAACAATGATTATATCGGCGTAAAACTTTGCGTTAATAATACGTTTAAAGTGTGCCATCTTGTGACTAAAATTTGTCTAAATCGAACCAAAACTGTTCAAGCCACTAGGTACTGAATATGTGGACCCCAGTGCCTATAGTTAACTTTTTACCGAAAATATCGGTCAATGTGTAAGATATATAGTTGAAATTCAAATAATAAAATAAATAAATGAAACTCTTGATAATAGTATGTTTTGTGTCAAAAATGGGTTAATATAAAATTTTGCCAACACCTGAAGTAATTTCCCGGCTTTGAACATTGCAAGTTGCGAGAGTATAAAAGGTTCGGTTACACCCGAACTTAGAACTTCCTTACTTGTTTAATTAGGCTTACATCAGAGCCAAACTTCGTAAGCTATTTTGAAAATTTCAGTGTAATTACGTGAATTTGTTATTAGCATCGTATGACTTACATAAGTGCATAAGCTTTAAAAAACGTATATACAGTGGCGAGCAGAATTGAGTGCATGTTTACAAAACTGACTTTCAGCACCCCTAAAAACATAACCACACAAGCAAATCCAATTTTTTTTTTGTTTTCTTTTTAGTATTTAATTCGTAACAAATTCTAGTAAAGAAACAAAATCAAATGAGAAAAATTCTAATCGTTTGAAAGAAAAACCGAAAGAAACTCGCATAAACTCAATTTTGCACGTTTAAGAAAAATTCAATAACTAAATAGATTTTAATATTTTGACCATAGACCCTTATTGGAAATGACTTCTTTTACGCGGTCTGGCATGCTCTTTATCAAATTTTCAATAATATCTTTCGTAATTCGACTCCATTCTGCTGTTACACGATCCCAAAGGTTGGCCATGTTTGTTGGAGCTGCTTCGTACTGCCCGATCCGTCTTCTCACTATTGACCAAAGATTTTCAATTGATTGGATTGAGGTCGGGACTTTATGCTGGCCACTCCATCAATTTAAAATGTTGTTTTCCAATCCATTCCTTTACAAGTTTTGCTGTGTGCTTCCGATCACCATCGTGTTGAAAAAAAAATTTCTTGTTCGGGATAAGCACATTTCTACATAAAATTGGGAAGATTGGTTTGCAGAATTTGAAAGTAGCCCTCTTTTCGCATGATACTATCTACTAAATGAAGAGGACCAACATGCCACCATGTAAAGCATCTCCAAACCATAATATTTCCACCGCCATGTTTAACAGTTTGTTTTACATGGTGTCTTTGTATACGTTCTCCGGGTCTACGCCAGCAGTATTGCTTTCCGTCTGACTGAAAACGATTAAATTTGGACTCATCACCCTTTGGTGTCAGTAGCTTGTTTTGTCTTATTTCGGACATCATTAGTCGAGCATCTGAGTCTTTCAATAATTTTTTGCTACCTGCGACTTGCGGTTTAGGAGTCAGATTTCGCCTCTTTTGAACTTTTGTTTTTCAAAATATCGACAAATTATTTCTAATTCGAAACCAATTCACAAAAACTGCTTTGCTTCGCCTGAAACACATTTTAAAATGCACTAAGACCTTCAAAATTAGCATAAGAACAAATATAACGGTGAATCTGGCTGATTTATGCTGAGAAGAGAAGAAAGAGGGCGAAAATACTTGGAAGAGTTTCTTTCGTTTTTTCTTTCAAACTCTTCGAACTTTTCTCATAAGTCATTGTTTCTTTACTAGAATTTGTTACGAAATTAATAACAACAAGTAAGGAAGGGCTAAGTTCGGATGTAACCGAACATTTTATACTCTCGCAAAGTCAAATGGTATACTCGTTTGAGATTTCTTTGTGGATTGACTGATATTTTCGGTAGAAGGTCAACTCTAGGCACTGGGGTCCACATATTTAGTACTTAGGGGTTTGAACAGTTTTGGTTCGATTTAGACAATTTTTGGCCGCAAGGTGGCATACTTTAATTGCATTATTCACGCAAAGTTTTACCCCGATATAATCATTGTTACCTGATTTGCATAGTGGAAAGTGAAAGAATCAGATGGAATTTAAAATGGTGTTACATGGGAAGTAAGCGTGGTTGTAGTCCGATTTCGTCCATTTTCGCACTGTAACATAGAAACATGAAAAAAACGTTATGCACCGAATTTGGTTGAAATCGGTTGAGCAGATCTCAAGATATGGGTTTTCACCTAAAAGTGGGCTGTGCCACGCCCACTGACTAATTTTGAACGCGGTTCCTATAAAGCCAATTTATGCCATCTCAGAGATAAAATTTAATGTCTCTGGCGTGTTTAGTGCTTGATTTATCGCGCTTTTAGTAGTTTTTAACAGTACCGTTATATGGGGAGTGGGCGGAGTTGCCACCCGATTTCAACTATTTTCACACCGTCAATAGAAGTGCTAAAAACATTTGCTTCCAGTGAATTTTGTTATTATAGCATTAGCAGTTTAGGAGATATGCACATTAAACCTATTAGAGGCGGGACCACGCCCACTTTTTAAAAAAACTTTTAACTGCAGATGCCCCTCCCTAATGTGATCCTGTGTACCAAATAACAGTCTTGTATCTTATTGCGGAGCTTAGTTATGGCAAGTTATTTGTTTTT